TCTAAGCTAATAAAGAGATTAATAGTAATAATGATAAAATTATATGATATAAATTATGAGATAAATCATAGTTTATTGTAAATTTTTCTTTTATTTTTTATTTTATATTATTTTATAAATTCAAATATAACTAAATATAATTCATTAATAAATAAAGTTTGAAATAAAGTTTAAAATAATATTTAATATTATTAAATTATTATTTTAATTTTTATTTTATATATTACATTTACAATTTTTAATGAGTTACTTATTTTTGAATATAAAGTAATTTTGAGATTGCTTATTTTTGAAAGAATATAATAATACTTAATAAAATCTAATAATTTTAATATAAATTTTATAAATAATTAATAAAAAATATTAATTATTAATTAAATTTATTAATATTAAGAGTTATTTAAATTATTTAATAAAATTATTGCAGTACTATAAAAAAAAATAAAATAAATAGTAATTAAATATACTTTAATTTTTGATATTTATAAAATAGTCTAGATTGTATATATATATAGTTTATAATAAATATTAAATTTTTTATCTTTATTCTTTAAATTTTTTGTATTTATTTATAATTATTAATTTCTATTTTAATAATATACATAGTAAAAAAATGAGAAAAATAATGTAAAATTGTAAAGAAGAAAATAAGAAATGTAAGAAAGAAGTAAGAAATTTAATAAAGCTTAAATCATATCATATTAATTCAAAATAAATCAGGTTTTTTATTTATGATATCATAAACAAAATTAAATTATTATATATAGAAGGTATATTGTATAAAATTAAAGTTAAAAAATTTTTATATATTTAATAAAATAATTATTAAAAACAAAATGTAATAAATTTATTATTAATTTTATTAAAAAAAAAGTTATGAATTATAATAATATAAAATATTTAATTAAACTGATATTTATATTCAAATAAATTCTTATTATTTAAAAAATATTTCTTTTATATTTATAATAAATTGCTTTTTATTTATTAATAATTGTTATAACAAATGTAATTATTATAAGAATTGGTATTTATATTTATGTTATATTTAATTAAACTTATAAAGTTATTTCTTTATATTTATTATTTATTATAAAATTAAATATGTTTGAGAAAAGCTTATTAAAGAAAAATCTGATGATAGTTTTATAAAAATATTAATAATTTCGAACCATTATTAAAATATTAATATTAATATTGCAAAAAAAAAAAATAATAATAATAACTAAATAGAAAAAAAGAGTATTTGAAATAAATTAATAATATTAAGCCTTAATCTAGGAAGAAATATTATATAAAATAATTAATATTAAAAATATTAAGATAAATAAATATTCTAATTTTATTTTAATATAATAAAAAACTTTATTAGATTGACTTTATTATTATATCATTGTAAAAACAATTAATTTCTATTATTATACATTTAATAATTAACATAAAGTTTCTAAACATTCTTAAATTTTTTATTGAGAATTTACGATTTTAATATGACCATATAATGTCAAAAATTTAATAATTTGCTTAGCGAAGTTTAACTAATGCTTAAATAGTATGGAAATTTATTTTTCATGAAAAAAAAGAAATCTTATAGGCTCAAAATTTTTAGTTACATGTTACCGGAAAAACATTAGATGACGAATTGAGAACTTACAAGGGAACGTTGTACAGTACATTGTTTATGACACCATTATATTCTTAAAATAATAATTTGCCACTTGCACTGCCACAAATGCCTTGTAAATAAAAATAGATCAACCGCAGGAAAACCAAAGATTGAGATCTGCAGAAAAATTTCTAAGTTTGTAGTGAAATGAAGCATTTAAGTATGGATATGGTCAAGGATTATGTATGATGAAATGATTAACGTTTAAGAATTGATCAAGACAAAAAAAAATTCAATTCAGAACCTTGCGATTTGTCCGGAAACCTTCGGATTGAAATTACACGACATAAGTTAAACAATGTGTCATTGGCTTAAATAAACTTCATTACGTCTGCCTATTAAAATCTTGTAGTAAATTATATTTAATAATTCTAATTATATATTGGAGCCTGCATTTATTCGGCGCTTACTGGTTGTTGTCATTGTAGTTATATGAAAAAGTTTCCCTTTATCACGAGTCATAATATTTAATATTTGAAATAAAAGCAACCTCTGCACCACATCATTTGACTAAAAATAATGTCATCATATCATGTTTCAAATTCGATTATCAAGTCTAAAGTCAATATCAAATACTTAATTATTTCTTTCTTTATTACTCGTATACAATTGAATTACTAATTAAATTTGATTAGGATTTAATTTAGTATTGAATGTTCAACAAATTTTTATTTATTTATTGGATCCGACATAAATTACGAAGAGATTTGATAATTACTTAAATGAGTCAATAAACATACCTCGCCGCAGTGTGGCGTACTTGTACCCCATGATATATTTTCAGGTAGTACATCGGTCACGCGACTAATAATATTTTTAATCTAATGAGGCGTGAAAAGAGAAAAAAAGCATTATCCGAAGGATTATCTTAGGTCATCCGATACTTTTTGGGGAAAATCTGATTTAAAATTTAATAAGATTATAAACAATAATTACATAATCTATGTGCATTAACTTCTCGATTAAAATATAAATTGATCTTGTTTTTGTCCTTAGACCTTTAGTTTGCCAGTCCTTTAAAATTTTATTGACCATATTCCGTCATCCTATATACCATGAGTTTTCATTTCCTTGACCCATATACACCAGATATATTAGAAAATGACTCAAGGAGATTGGAAAGAGTCCCAAGGAGGAGAAAGCCAAATTATTTCATTATATACCGTACAGAAATGATGAAATATAAACCAGAAAAAATGACGATGCCGGATTACAGCAAACTCGTATCTAAATGGTGGCGTAATATGTCAAAAGAAGACAAGGCTGCACGAAAAAGAAGTTATCAGATCATTCGGGATCAAAGATTACCGAACATTGTGAACAATAATGTCGTTGCTGTTCAAATGGGAGAAAGTTCGGACTCTTATACTTCGATGACAGTTGATCAATTCAATCAAAATCAAACATTTTCAACTGAAATGAACGAAAACGTGAACGAATATCCCATTGCTGGACAAATGGGCGAAATTCCTTCGTTTTCAGTTTATCAAATATTACCAAACACAGAGGACGAACTTACCTTTGATGATCAAACAGACGAAGCTTCGCACTTTCATCCTTCTGTGACAGTTTATTGTGAACGATTATTACCAAACGCAGAGGATGAACATGCCGTTGATGATCAAATGGACGATAGTTCGGATTCTAATCCTTTGATAGCAGATATAGGTGAATCATCATACGATTTTCAACCTATCTGTTATGATTTGGATTCAACCACGATGAGAGGTGATTGTTTTTTCACCGATTATCCTTCAGAAGAGTTTTTTTTGAACGATGATGATTTCATGAAATACGACTATTATAAGTTATGAGGTATATCAAACTCTGCAACAAACGATAATTATTTTTTTTTTAATTTTAAAATCGATGTTTTGAAGTAAATGGCAATATTTTGAATATTTATAGTTTTATATTGTCAAAATCCGTTTTATATTATAATTCGATATTATACTTGTTTCGCATTAATGTAATACTTTCGTAATTATTTAATTTCGTTTTCCCGATTTTAATTTATTCACATTCTTTTCATGTTTTGCGTTTTTATTCATTATTATGTAAATTGGCAATTTGGAATTTAAAAAATTTATGGCAATTATAAGATTATTAAGATTTTTAAATAAAAGTTGGAACGTTTAATAAAATTATGATGTTATCAAGTGAAATATATTTGATGAAAGAATCAAGGAACCAGAAAAATTAATAAGACGGTAAATATGGTAGTTGGTGACTGAAAAAGGTCATTGTTCTAAAAAGTAAAAAATATGTTTGGTTAATGTCTAAAGCATAAAAACCGAAAGTTTCAAATATTTTAATCAAAATTATGTCAAATTTTTTGTGCGACGCTGCTTGCAAATCCTCTCGTATTAACATTGAAACTATGATATGTCCAGCTATTTATCCGCTTTGCTTAATATCCTTGACATGACGTGTGTGTCAAATAATGTGTTACAAATAGGGAAACACGGAGGGTGATACAAAATGATCACGTACCCACCGGTATACCGAACACAATATAAATAACAAGATTTAAAAATAAATAAATTTCTTTACGTATTACAAGCATAAAAATAAGAAAACGATTACTCGTTGCAAATACCCAATTGACTGTGAATAAGACTAAATTAAGAAATTCCTAACATATAAATGTGAAAAAATAAAATTGTCAAAAAAAATATTGTTTTTTTAAGAGGAAAATGAACAAATAAAAATAAAATAAAAGTTGATTCCGTCAGATTTTTCATCATGAAATTGTTAATTAAAATATTAATATTACAAAGTGTAGTACTTATAGTATATAGAACTGGGATGGATCTTACTCGAACCTTCTTCGGATTGATTGGTAATGACTGCTCCTTGTAATAGATTAATTTGCAATTTAACCTCGTTTACTTTTGGGTAATCCATAGAATTTTCATTATGGTATATGTTATTAGTTACATGATTCGCATTAGCGTTTTCATTTTCTCCCATTTGATAAGTTTGCAACTCTATTTGTGCACACTTATTAATTGAATTATGTAACTGTTGATCTCGACTAATATGGTACTTTCTTTGCCATTTAGATTTTTCTTCTTCTGATAGCTTTTTCCATTCTTCCGACACTATTTTGCTAAATTCTGTCATAGTTATATTAAGTGGTCGATCTTTCA